TCTCCTCCCTTACATTTCTAGGCATCTCCCCCTGTCCTTGGCTTGCAGACAGCTGCCTATGTGGCACAATGGACGTGCGCAGGCAGAGCGCTTGTCTCCGGCACGGGAACATCCGAGAACAAGCCCAATTCCTTCCCTTTCTTCAGGTTTCCCTAAAAAAGGGGGGGGGAAATCCAGCATCACAGGGATTCACTAAGCTGGAGCTCTTAGAGTCTCACATGAGCCCTCCCATGCTGCTGAAGGTGCTTGCTTTGAGTGACGTGCGATGCTCTTGGTGGCTATCGCCGAGCTGCTCCGCATGGCTGGACAAGGAGGCAGGGAGCAAAGCGCTGGGCTTTCATCTACTAGAGAGGAGGGATGCTCCTCACAGCCCCACTGTGCCTGCATAGCCCATCCTCAGCACAGCACCTTCATCCTTCCCATCCACTGGTGTCTGCCTGGGAAAGCACCGCTAGCAGCACGGCAGGCCTCAACAGAAGAGGGATAAGCTATTTCTTGTCCCATGAAATCTGAATGGCTGAGATGCTCAGCAGCTTGCAGGCTTAAGTCCTGAGTTTGTAAAGCAGTAGCAAATGTGGTGCTGACTTAATGAGCTAAATACCCATTAGCTTATTTATAATGCCAGTGATACAAGAAATGATCTCATCTGTGTCTGGAGAACAGCACAAGGAAGTGAAAGAGCAGCTCACAACCCCCGACATCTAAACAAAACCAACCCAAAAAACCCTAAACCCCCCTAAAACCCCACTGCCACCGACACAGCTCCGCTTGCATCTGTTCAAAGCCTTTCACAACCTCTGGTTGCGATGGTGGCAGTGAGACATCAGTGAATTCACCTTGGCCACAACACTCCATGCCCAGGCCGTTGGCTGCAGTCTGCAATGAGTGCAGCACAGCCAGCTTGGCTGCTCTCGCAGGACTTGGCTCTTGCAGCCACTAGGTCTGGAAGCAAAACCATCCCATCACCTAAATACATTGGCATCTCCATCCAGTGCAAGGCACGGGCCTTTTGAGAGCAGTGAGTGCTTGAGGGGAGAGCAGCGAGCCTGTCACTCATCCCTTCACTGTCTGGGGAGCTTGCAATGGGATATGGAAGTGTAAGCAGCTTTCAAACTGCATAAAGAACACTGTTAATGCTGCCAGTGAAACCAGGCACGGAGCAGCCTTTTTCTTTTAAAGGTGAGACTATTAAAGATGAGACAAAGCACAGTGTGTAATTTGGATATATATATCTCCAAATTATATATATATACATATTATATATATATATTTGCATAATTTAGATATAAGGAGGAAGTTCTTTACTGTAAGGGTGCTGAGGCACTGGAATGGGTTGCCCAGGGAGGTTGTGAATGCTCCATCCCTGGTGGTGTTCAAGACCAGGTTGGACAGAGCCTTGGGTGACCTGGTTTAGTGTGAGGTGTCCCTGCCCACAGCAGGGGGTTGGAACTGGATGATCTTAAGGTCCTTTCCAACCTAAACCATTCTATGATTCCATGTAAATCCCATCCCCACCATGGCTGGCTGTTCTGGACGTGCAGTTGTTTCCATCACCCCTCTATGGGTGGGCTGGATTTGTCAGCTAAACCAAACTGACTCAAACCCCAAGTCTCCCTCCACAAGGGCTGCTCTCAGGCTCTTCACCAGGCAGCATCAGCCCAGCGACCCCAGTTTGGCTCCTTTCCTGGGGGCACACAAGGAGGGAAACACAACACCCTAAAAATAGGATAAATAAAACCCCTTTGCTCTTGGGGGCAGGCTCATTTGCTGGATCCAGAACCCTACCCTGGCCGTGGACCCCCCTGTTTGCAGTGGCTGAACAGCTCAGAACCGTGATGTTGCTTGAAAACATCCTAGTTTAGCCCCATTTTTCATTCCCAAGGCACGTTGTGAAATGGAGCCCCCAGGCCAAAGTCTGGGAGAGCAGTCAATAGGGAGGGAGGCCCTCGTGCAGAGCTCACTCTTGTTTGGTTTCCATCAATCATTGACTTTTACGGTGGCCTTTCAAAAGGGGAACTCGGCATTGAACGCTCCCTCTGGGCTCGCTCAGGTGCTGCTGCGTTTGCTACAAGGAGGGAAATAGCCCCCGTAAAAAACAGAGGTGGCACCTTCATCAGAGAGGTGACGGGAGCCAGGAGAGCCGAGCAGAGAACCTGAAGGCACGAAGACATCTGAAACCTTCACCCACTGCATGGGACTGTAAATTCACTGTAGACAAGCTATGAAACCCAGACCTCCTTTCTCCCTGTTCCCAGCTCCAGCCACCGGCTAACATCCCCCTCAACCATAAACCAGATGTTACATTCAAAAAGCAGCACAGAGAAGAGTGAAACGCACCAAAGAAATGACCTCCTGAAGCTCTGCCCCTTGGTGTGAAAACCCCAGGGCACAACAAGAAACAACCCCTTCGGTTTGCCTTAGGAAACCCAAATGTGCACCAGCAAAGGCAAATAATGTACCTGTGTCCCTGCAGCAGCACTTGTAAGTCAATCAGAGAGCAGCGTCAATACACCGGTTTTCCAGCTGCAATGGAGAGACAGGGAATAGAAATGGCAAAATCAGGACTCGCTCAACCCCTCCAGCTCCAACACCCCCCATGTGGCTCCTCCGCTATTCCCAAATACACACACATACAGAGATGATTTCTAGTTAATGCTGAGTGCTGTCCGACCTATCGCCATAGGAACCTGCGGATTTCTGTGGATGCCTTCCCTAATCTTAACTCCTGCACTTTCTCTCACATTCCATCCGACAGGAATATTCTATTTCTTGTTTTCCTAAGGAAAAGAGTGAGACTTTCTCTGCCAAAAATGGTGCAGAAATGGCAGAATTCCCAATCCAACGTGCTGCTGACACTTGTAAAACGAAACAAGAACCTTTCCTCACTCATGTGAACAGTGAGAAGCTTTTTCCCTTAGATCCAGTCCTTCGGATTCCAAACACTTTGGGCTCCTTTGGGCTGAAATCCCTGCCTTGCTCTGCAGACAGCCTCTGACTGACCCGCAGCGGATGGAGCAGTTGGGTTTGTTGGGGTTCCTTGTGGCCACATCCACAGCCCATTGCACAGACTTGCTGAGAGGCAGCAAGGACGATGCTAGCGACCCACTGGGGATCCAGATCCCCCCAGATCAGCTGTGTCTGTGTGAACAACCTCCCCATGCCAGCCAGCCTGGGGTGAAAGCCATCCATGCACTGACCTGCACCACCAGCAGCAGCAATACACAGTCCCATTCACCTGCACAGAGTCCCAACAGCACGCCCTGTGCAAGGAGAAACTCATCCTGCTTTGCTTGAAATGCATTTGCATATATGCATAGTATGCAGATACATACACTAGAACTGATGACACCAAGCCTGTCAGAGTTCAAGGAGCATCTGGATGATGCTCTTAGTCATATGGTTTAGTTTTAGGTAGCCCTGTGAGGAGCAGGGAGTTGGACTTGATGATTCTATGGGTCCCTTCCAACTTGAGGTATTCCATTATCCTACACACACACATACATATATATATATATATGAATTAATGCCCCAAAGCATAGGTTTGGTGTGATGGACTTGGCTGGCTGCTGGGTGCCCATCAGCCACACTCACTCCCCTCCTCAACAGGCAGAATATAAGATAAAAGATAAAGCTCATGGGCTAAGATAAAGGCAGGGGACACCCCATGGCATCAAACCAGCACCGGAGGAGCACCCAGCCATGGCACAGGGGGGATGCAGCCCCTCTGCAGCCTGCATTGCCCCACAGTTTGAATGCCAAGCTCCTTTTACCAGCACTGCCCCGATACAAACCAGAAAGGACACAAGCGAGGCAGCACTGCTGTTTGTCCTCCAGTGACTAAGAAAATGTGACTATGATGTGATCAACCCTCATGAACGCATGTGAGGAAGCCTGCCAGTGCCTGCATTTGATTTCTTGCCTAAACTCCAGCCAGCTTAACACAACATCAGTTTGGAAGCCATAAAACACGAGACAAACAATGTAAATCAATGTGACCAGCAAAATTTAACAGGAAACAGGCTGTGCTCCTTATTTTCTGGATGGGAGAGCAGCTGGGGCAGCCACGATTACCTCTGAAACTCTTTGCACCCATTTGGTTACTTGCAAGCAGGGAAAAGGCAGCTGAAAGCTAGTTTCATGTAATGTGAGGTTTGGTGTAAATCAACTGTACATGACTTCAAATTGGACAAAGGACAGAAAATTCCCTGAAAGAGGCAGATGAAATATGATGAAACTAAAAGAAGGGAGAAAAACCAAGTATCATAGAATCAGAGAATAGTTTGGGTTGGAAGGGACCTTCAAAGCTCACTTGGTCCAGCCCCAAAGTGATGAAACTGATGTCTGGAGATGCTGGGATTTACTGCTTATCCAAGGGCTGGCAGCCAGGGCAGCGGCGTGCATCGCCACAGGGGTAAATGCCTGTACTGTGGGGCTACAAATCACTGCAGCTCACACCTCTCTGGGTATTGCAAGGCAGGCAACAAGGCTGCAGAGAGCTCAGCGTCACTTCTCCCTCCAGCAGGTACATCCTCACCCAGCCGTGGTCAGTGCTATGCTGGAGGGTCTGAGCTGTGCTCACCAACAGCACCTGATGCATCGGTCCTGGGGGGCTGCGAACGATACCAGGGATAAAGCCAAAACATCCCAGTGGGAATGCTGGGAGCCAAGCACTGTGCTTGAAGAACAGGACTTGAGAAGCCATTGGGAGCAGCTCACAGAGCACCCTGCTGTTAGAATCCTTCTCACAAGCCGATCAAAGTCCACTAAAACCCATTTCCATTCATTCTCCCCATCCCATTCCTTTACAAAGCTACTGCAAAACCCTGGCAGCAGCACCCCCCGCTGCTGCGTGTCCCTGTCCCCACAGGATAACACCCCGATAACGCTGCTACCACCACCACAGCTCCAAACGTGCAAACCCAAATGGGGTTTCACCAAAACCAGCCCCATGGAAGAGCATCCCTCTCACCCCTGCCCCAGTGGTGCAACCCCCAACTCACAGCACTGCTGAAGTTCACCTTTTTAGCCTTAAATAGGCGATGCTGGTCCCCATGGGCCGTGCTGAGTGGCAGCGAGTGCTGGCTCCAGGCAGACCCCGTCCCTCCCACCGCAGCCACTGACCCCAGTGGGATCAGCAGTGTTTGAAGAAGGGCTCAGCCCAGAGCCTGGTTTCAGGCAGGTCGGGAGGGCTCCGAGATGCAGCTCAGGACACGCATGGGATCTTCCGCAATCTCTTCCTACCAGCTGCTATTTCTTCCCCACCCGCTTTTATAGGAGCCTGATAGCTCCCATTGGCTCGAGGCACACTTATTATAGTGACTACTATGACCCATTTAAACAGCACTAAATAATTCCTCAGTTCATTGTCCTGCAGAGATTAGTTACATATAAGCATATTTTAATGATTAACTATTGGGCTCTGCTGAGGCCCCAGCAAATATGCAGGATCCGCAGCCTCCCTCTGCCTGTCCTTCCGCTCCTGCCAGCTCCCTGCTTCATCACCAGCCCCACAATATTTATGGCTTTCCTTAGAGCCTCTGCTCCTGTCCTGATACAACCAGCTCAGCTGGCACTGGAGGGAAGGCTCCGGCTCCTGGAGCTGCAAAAGGCCAGGAAAAAGGCTGGGAAAAGCCCAAAACCCAGCACCCGGAGCAGCAGCGGTAGCTTTGAGAGGTTAAATCATGAAGAGGCAGTGTTTGTAGAATAAATTGTAGGTTTGGGGGCTGAATCGCAGGCTTTCTCAGTACCCTGGTGCTAGAGATGGGCTGGGACCCATGGTCTGACCTCACTCTCCATTGCCCTGATGAATCCCAGCAAGATGCTGCAGGTTACCTGAGATAGAAGTCAGGGTTAGTGCATTCCTTGCCCTGGGCATTTCCTCACACACATTCCCACTTCTCAATCCAGCAGCAGCACAATCCAGGGCTGGATTCACCTTTGGAGCTACTCCCAGCATCTGTGCACAAGGGAAGTGCATAAACCAGCAGCAATTGCTTGTCCTCACCATCCCAGTGGTCCTTATCACCCAAGACCCCTTCCCAAGCAACCCAAAGCACATCAGCCCCATGCAACAAGCCCAAACAGGACCAGCTGTATTCTACCAGCATAACATTGACCACTCATATGCTGCTCACCCCATCTCATCCCACCAAACCTGCTGGTTTCCAAGATGGGCAGCAACCATCCCACTGTGGACACCCGGCACGGATGGGACAGCCCCAGGTGGGGATGAGTTCCATGTGGATGCACAAGGAACATTTTAGGGCCATTTCCAGTGCAACGCTGCAGTGTTCTGGTGAGGTGGTGACACACGGGCAGGGTGTCCTGCCCCACTCAGAGCAGCCCCACAGGGCTTGGGAAAGAGGCAACTTTGTGCGGAGCCCACACAGGGGACAGGGCGTTGCACAGGAAAAGGGAAGATGTTTAAATTGGCCTGAAACGGCCCATTTCCCACTCACGGATGCTGAGGTGTGGGCAGCTCAGAGCAGCAGCGTCTGGGGGGTTCTATGGGCTTTGATCGGTGATGAAGGAGCAAACCTGCTGGGAGGAAGCACTTGGATCCCAGTAGGTTTCGAGTGGGTGTTTTCAGTGCTTCCTTTTCCCTCCCTCACAGCCGCCCTCTGGCTGCTGCATCCCTGGAAGCCTTTGGCCACAGTCTCTTCTAAGGAAACCCATCAGCAATACAAAAGGGGAAAACAAAGTCTTTTCAGATGAAGCTGAAGAGTATAAAACCCCTCAACCACGTCTTGAGATGTTAAGTAGAGGATGGACATTTAATGCTGCAGCCGGTGAGGCTGGGAAGGGGCTGGGAAGGGGCTGGGATGGAGCTGGCCTGGGATGGAGGTACTTCAGCCAAGTACCCCGTGATGGGAGCCCCACTGTGGTAGCCCCAACCACTTTCCCCATGGGACAAGGGACACCAGGTGCCCAGCACATCAGGATGGGGACTGGGGAGGTATCAAGGGGTTCGTGCTGCTGGTTTCCCCCAAACCCCACCTCCTTTCTGCCCACTGGGGCATTTCAGAGCTCACCATGTCCTGCTGTGTATCCCTGTCCATCCCGAGCCCGTCAGATAGCTGAACATATCTAAATAACAAAGAAACAGCAATCTGAATCAGGTGATGAACCCTCTCAGCCCTGCTGCTGATAGAAGACCCCAGGTTCACCTCAGCTGATGCTCTCCTCTGGACAGACAGCACAGTTTTTGCTGTGGCAAAGCCCTTGAAAGCCCTTTTAGACAGGGCAAGAATCCCTCTAGTTCAACAGAGCACGCTTGTAAAGCCTTTGGCATGGCCCCAGGGGTTAACTTCCACTAGATATAAAAATACATGCATGTATAAACTGTGGGAAGGGGTGGGGAAGCAGAACCCCCTCCCATGCTCACCACTGAGCTGGGTAATTTCAACTGCTTAGGCTTTCTATTTTGGGATGTCTTTTACTTGCCAGCATCTGGTCTGTAACAAAAGGGATTTGCTTCCCCAAACTGACATCCAGCGACACAGGAGCCCCCAGGGACCAGCACGGGGCAAGGTGAGCCTCTGCTGGGAGCAGCGTGAAGATGCTTGGTTACTCGTTTCCAGCTGGGACTGACGGTTTGAGCTCATCCCCTTCCTCCTGCACTGATACTCCATGTTAAAGCCCTGCTCCATGGCTGCCCCAGCTCACGTTAAACATCACCACCCTGCGGCTGGGAAGCGATGGGGCACCCATTTAGGGGCGAGAGGTGGAGGGCTCGGCACACACACAGCGGGGTTGAGGGGGTTTGAGTGCAGCTTTTGGGGGTTGTTCTGTTGTAAGTGAGCAATGAAGTTTCTGCCTGGCCACATAAAGCAGAGGCGGGGTGGTTCTTGCCAGCTCCTCTCTCACAGCCCAGCAGGCACCAAGCAGGAGCCCCGCAGGGCTGAGCACTAATTGCAAGCAGCAGTCGGGCAGTGAAGCTGCTCCTTAGGAGGAGCAGAAGGGGTGCAAGACACAAATAAGGGCTTTAAACCACAGCGAGCCTTTGTGCTCGGTGCTGAAGCTCAGCTGAGGGGACCGAGGGCACTGGTGCCACCTCTGCCACCCTCCCGTGCTCCTATGAAGCATCACCCCTCTGCCTCCCCAGGCTGGATGCGGCAGAGATGCTGGTGAAGAGCTGGCCAGAGGATGCTCCTTAACACCAGCCACAGCTCCTGAAAGCACTTGGTCCTGTTGGGACTGTTTGCAGCATCCCTGAGCGCTCCCTGCAGCTCCCTTCCCAGCTTCACTATGCACACTAAATCCTTCCCCATGACTCCTGGCTTCCCCATCTCTTCTCAGACGTTCTCTCACCCCACTTGGCTGGTTCTCAGGCCAGCTTTATTCTAATTATCTTTAAAGTTGAACAGCCTCCCCGCTACCTTTGATGGTTGTTTCTATAAACATTAAAGTTAATAAAATAAAGATCCTTAATGCAGAAGGAAATGAATTCAAGCAACATGTGCACGGAGACTCCTGCCTGTGGCAAGCAAAAGTTCTTGGGCCTTGAACTGTTTCCTAACTGCTTGCTGCATTTCAGCTGTGCTTTGGCTGCAGCCCTGTCTCTTTTTTCAGCACAAGCCTTTCTTTTTGCTCAATAAAAGCTTTGCAGCAGGATTCTTTCTGTGGGAACACAAAACATTTTCTCTGTCAACGTCTTCAGCAGCTCCAACCTAAACAACGCTGCCATCGCCTCCCTCCAGGATGCTGGCTGGATCCCAATCTGCGCCTCCATAGAGCAGCCCTTTGGAAAGGGGGGTAATGTGACCTTCCTCTCTCTGGGAAGGTTATAAAATATCATGGTTTTAAAGGGTACTTTGGGCTTCTTTATAGAGATCCCCTGGGCTCGTCTGGGGGAGTGTGAGGGGGCTGGATGCATCCAAGCTGCTGTTGGAGTATTTTAAAGATCTTTAACATCCCAAGGAGAACTAGTTCCCTGCTTGCCTTGACCCAAGCCTCCTCCCCTTTTACAGGATAGCACCCGGGAACAGGGATCCCAATCCCTGATTTCACAGTGCAGCACTGGGTTATCAAATCGGTGGTGAGGGAGCAGTGCCCTTAGGGCAGGATGTCACCACCCAGCTGAAGGCATCGCTCTCATGGGCGAGGAAGAGGTGCGATGCTCATGTTGACGCTCAAAGCTCATTCATCTCTCGATGGCTTTCCAGCTGCCTGCTCCCTGTCCCACTCCTCCCATGTCCCCAACATCAGCTCTACCATGGCATTCACTTCGGAACACAACTTGGCTCTTGCCTAATGACACTAACACCTTGCTGATGCAGAAAGGCTGGGTTTGGTGTCCCCACGTTGCCCTTTGCATGCTCGCACTGGGATAACACCAGGCGCTGCCCTCTCCATGTTTTCCTTGAGCCACAGGATGCTCCCAGCACATGTGCCTGTCAGGAGAGCAATACCCATGTATGCCAGCTCAGGATCTGCTCCCACCATTGTGTTTTAAACTCAAGAGGAACCTGTGTAGTTCAGATTTCCTGTATAAACATGACCCTCTGATTGCCATTAAATAACTTAAACTGCTGCTCTGCAAAGCATGACCTGTCCCTGCTGAAGGGATGCCGGCATGCCGGTGCTTGGCAGCCCACCCACAAGGGAACACTTCCCTTTGGCTCCATGGCTCGGCCCCATCCTCAGATTTGGTCTTGTGCCCAATTCACGAGCACAGATGTTTTCATTAGAAAGTCATCTCCTCACAGCTCAGCTCCCCCTTACCTCTGCTGCAAGCAATGGGAAGGATGTGCAGTGTATGCAGGACATGCCTTCGTGGTGGGGTAACTCCCAGGGGTGCAAGGCTGTGATGTCTGGCAACTCCTCGTCCTGTGGAATTCCTAACTTGACTCTGTGTAACAAGCTCCAAGCGTTCACAGATATGCAAGCACATGGTCCTGTCGGGGCTGGGAGCAGAGCCTGCGAGCATGGTGGACTCCCGCATGTCCAGTGGGACAGGAGCACATCACAGCAGTGTTATGGGCACCCACATGCTGGTCTCAAAGCACAGGGAAAGCTGAGGGCTGCAGCCTAGTAAAAAGACTCCTTTACCTGTCAGCATGCACAAAAGGACTGAACAAGGCCTTGGGCACTGCTCCTGGTGTCAGCCTGGCTGCAAGCCCTGAGAAAGAGAGAAGAAAGAAGAGAAACAACCTCCCCAAGGCCAGAGGCCAGTGGCAGAGCTGGCATTTGCTGACTGATCCCAGCTCCAAAGGCACTACGTAACCCTCCAGACAGACACTGTCCCTCGTGCCACACCAGCTCCTCGCTCTGCATCTTCCACCCCAGCACTGCCCATCTGCAGGGAAGGAAATACTTCATTAAGGACAAAGA